TTATGCTTTATTGATCCCAATTTACTCAGAAGAAAATGCTCAGAGAGGTCAAGGCACTTGTTCAAAGCCTCACAGCCAAGCTCCAACAACCATATTTGCTCTAGACACTCAGTTGCTTTCCCTTACTAAAAGGAATAACCCAAACACTAGGACTGAGTTAGATGTTTATTTCCTTGGATCAGTAAATCCTTTTTTTTTTTTTTGTGGTTCTGGGGTTTGAACTCAGGGCTTCGTGCTGTTAGCTGGTACTCTATCACTTGAGTCATACCTCCAGCTCAGTGTACCCTTACCACAACCCTATGAGGCTCAGAGAGTTGGGGTATGACTTGCCTAAAGCCACACAGTACATAGGTAGAGTTAAATTCAGGCTGGCCACCCCTTAGAGCTGCCTCTGTTGACAGGTCTAGATTCCTAGCTAGATTTGGCTTGCCTTAGCTCTTAGCTTGCTCCCCAGAAAAATGGGCTCAGTGATGCTGTCCTCATGAGACTTATAGACCTGACAGGAATGTCTTTTTTTCTTTCTTTCTGGTTTTGGGCTTGAACTCAGGGCCTGAGAGCTGTCTGAGTTCTTTTCAGCTGGAGGCTAGTGCTCACTTGAAGCTACCGCTCTGCTTCCAGCTTTTTTTTTTTTTAATGATTAATTGAAGAGTCGTACAGACTTTTCTGCCTGTGTTGGCTTGTGTACCCTGATCCTCAGATCTCAACCTCCTGAGTAGCTAGGATTACAGGTGTGAGCCATGGGCATCAGGCTAGGAATGTCCTTTCTTAGCACAAATTTAAGCATGAAACAGATTTGCTTCCAACTAAAAACCTTCCAGAGCACCCATCCCCTTCGCTAAGACAGAAGACAGTTAGGACTCTGGTACTATTGCAGCCATTTCTGAATCTTCCCAGCTTTCCCTGCTTGTAAAGTGGGGACCACTGAGGCCCTGCTTTGAAGGGGCTACTGCAGGATAAAGCAGGTGATGGTTCTAGCCAAGGTGATGGTTCTACCCTGCAGGTATTCAGTCAATACCAGTGACTGCCAGCCATCATTGCCTCCTCCACACACCCTCTGATCAAGCCAGCATTCCTGAGATGTGCCAGAGTAATCCTGCATACAGCTTTACTCAAGCTCTTGTCCTCTCTCCTTTCTGCATCTCCAGTCCCTTCCCTTCTGCTCCCCAGCTCCATGGACGGCTCCCTTCCAGAGCTGGACTTCAGCTTTGGCTCTTCCTCTTGCTAAAGGTCTGACTTGAGTAGCACTGGTTTCCTGGAGGAAGGGATCCAGTCCTTCTGCCTCCTGCCTTAATGTTTGACTCTCACGTCTGAGGGCTAGGCATTCACTCTTGTGTTTCTGGATGATAGGGACCTTCCGGGGTCCTGATGGAGGGGTGGAGGCAAGCAGGGTGGCGGAGGACCATTCAGGGATTGGCTGGGTCCCAACCAGTCCAGAGGACATTTATGGCAAAGCATGAATGTATGTATGAATGGCTGCACTAGTGTGAACTGGTAAACCTCAGCCGGACTGGTGGAGCTGCAGTATCTAGTATCCCAGAAAAACCAGTCCTAGTCCTTGGAAATCTTCAGGACCTCTTCCCAGCCAGCCTCATCTCTCTAAGTCCTGGCTTCCTTTATAGCAGCCCAGAGGCTCCAGACAGCTGGTGCCGACAGAGCTCTGAACCCCAGTGTCTGATTAATGACAAGTAGGCTCCAGTGAAACTCCAGTGAGCAACAGCTCTAGACAATTAATTAGAAGGCTTGTCACAGGGGACTGGTCACTCTCTAAGCCACTGCTGATTTCCTGTCAGGGTCCAGTCCTGGGCCAGGTGGAGAGCACTAGAAGGGAAGACACTGTGCTTCTGAAGGGCTTCCACTCTGGTGGGAAAGATCAACGTCCAGGCCATGGTGATCAGCTTTGTGACAGGGTGGTAAGAGGGACACCTGGGAGCCCAGGGGACAGAGATAGGAAAGCCTGAGATCCCAGTGGGTAAATGACGGTAATAGGAGCTGCTGTTTAGTGACCATTGTTACTCTAGCCACCATTGTTTCAATTCTTCTGCCTCATTTAATCCTCTACAAAATCCTAAAAAGGGAGATATCCAAGGCTACCCTCAAGTGAATAATGGACCAGCATGGTACTCCAGGCCTATCTGACTTTGGAGCTTCTACTATTCCTCCCACCCAATTGCCCATACATGCAGCCAGCCACTAAGAGCAGTAGGTTTAAATCGTCTCTGTAATCAGTTCCTCTCCTGAGCCTCAGCTTTGTATCTGAAAAAAAAAAAGTGGGAGGCAGGGAGGGAAGATTGTGATGCCTGCTTTCAGAAGCTGTTGGGATGCTTAGAAATACTGCATGCAAGTCAGACACTGGTGGCTCACACCTGTAATCCTGTCTACTCAGGATGCTGAAATCTGAGGATTGGGGTTTGAATACAGCTCAGGTAGGAAAGTGAATGAAAGTCTTATCTCCAATTAACTAGCAAAAAGCCAGAAGTAGAGATGCAGGTCTAGTGGTAGAGTGATAGCCTTGAGTAAAAAAAAGACAGAGTCCAAGTCCTGTTTAAATGCCAATATAGGAATGCATGCGCGTGCGTGCACACAGACACACACACATCAAAAAAGAAAAAAGAAAAGGAAAGAAAATAAACACTGCATGCAGAACCTAGCACCCAGCAGCTGCCTGATAAAAGTAGATAATATTCTTGCTCCAAGCAAAGACTGTAAATGCTGGGAAATCTGAGAGGACCAGAGCTATTTGATTGTGGCAGAATTAGACACCCCGAGGAGTCCAGTGGTGACGGGTCAGAGGTGGGCAGTTTGTGAGGCATCTTGGTCTTTAAACAGGAGTCTGTGCCACCTGTCAATGTACTACTGGGCAGTAGCTCAATGTCCAAAGAGCTTTTCTGAATGGTGGGATTAGGAACAATCCTACAGAGATACAATTTATTCCCACAAGGTTCCAGGTAGCAGATTGCATCCTGACCCACCCTGGGTCTGAGAAGGGCTCGCTTGGAAAGCATGGAGTAAACTGAGCCCCAAGGAGGAGTGGGAGGCAGCAGAAGGAGCGTGGAGCAGCATCCAGAAGGAGCGGATGCATGGCAGGCCTGGAGGGGGCCTGTGTGTGACGGAACGAGGGGGCGGCCTGCTGGGCCGGGGACATGGCAGTGGAGATTTGTGTTTGGGAAGAGCTTTCAGAAGCAGCAAAGGGACAGACCACAGAAGGAAAAAGAGGCCAGAAAAGAGCAGCACAGAGGCATAAGCCAGACTGGAGAGATATGCCATGGAGAAATAAGGATGGCTTCCTGGAGGAGACACCAATCTGTAAAAGCTGAAGATCGAGGTGACCAGTCTGGTCATCTGGGGCACAAGGAACGCAGTCCATCCCATAGGCTGAGCACTTCATGTTACGTACATTTAGTACAAAAACCCACCTTCACTTTGCCTGGATGAGCAGGAGGCAGCTGCCACCTTCAGCCAAGCAGAGCCCAGGCTGTCCCTGAGCAGGCAGGTGTGCATTTGCATTTCATTTGCATAATCTCCACCCCCCAGAGACTGCAAACCAGTCTTGCTCCCCCTGCCAGACAAAGGGGTACTGCAGTCTAGTGCCCCCTGTTGACTGAGTGCAATGCCCTCCAGAGTTTGGTGTTCCTGAGCACTGACACGAACTTGGCACTGACCCCCAAACCTGTACCCCACAGTTCTAAGCCCTTTGTTTGGGCCTCGATGTCCTCCAACATTACCCTCAACTTTTGGCCCCCTCTAGGAGTTTTCAGGCTGTGTTGCCTTTGTTTCTGCCACAGACTAGGCCAGCAATTCCTTTCCACCAGCTCATCCAAGACTCCCAGAGAGTGCTTGGGTGTTGGCAGGGGTGGAGGGGCGGCGGGGGGGAGGGGTCATGGAGTTTCTCTCATTCGCTGCCATCCCCTTTCTCCCACCCCTAGGCCATTTACAAGATGGTTTCCTCTGTGATGAAGATGCCAGAGGACGAGTCAACCCCTGAGAAGAGAACTGAGAAAATCTTCCGCCAAATGGACACGAACAATGATGGTGAGAGAGTGGGGGTGGGATGAAGCACCCCTCCTTCCCTCTTCTGTCCCCCAGGGTGGTGTCTGCATGACCTCCATCCCTCTCCTGCCCCCCCCCAGGGTGGTGTCCTGTACCCCTCCTTCCCTCTGCTGGCCCCAGGGTGGTGACCCATACCCCCCTTCCCCATCATCATCATCATCCTTTCCCTCCATTCTGCAGGCAAGCTGTCCCTTGAGGAGTTCATCCGTGGGGCCAAAAGCGACCCCTCCATCGTTCGCCTGCTGCAGTGTGACCCCAGCAGTGCTTCCCAGTTCTGAGTGACAGGAGCCAGGCCCTCCACCCCGCCTTCACCGGCCTTGCCGGCTCTCAGCTTCCTCTCCTTTGTGTCTATCCAGGCTGGGGGCCAGACAGGACTCCCTTCTGGGCCTGCACCTTTGGGTGGGGGCCTCTGGCAAAGGAAACCCTGAAAGCAAGGGGCCCAAGCAAGCACGTGCCAGCATCCTACAAGCCTAGAGGCAGTGTCTGCCCTGCCCTTCCCCACCTGCCCTGCCCTGGGACGCCCACCTCACCAGAGGGAAGGCTCCCCCTTGTAGATCTCAGCCTGGGTGGAGGTGGGACTCCCTCTCAGGAGAGAAAGATTGCAAGGCTGTGGGGCTTTGAGGAAGAAACACCCTTGAATCCCTTTCCTGCAGGAGAGCCCTAGCCTTTCCTGCCTTGAAAATGGAAAACCTTCCAGGATTCCAGCTGCCAGCTGTGGGTCCATGAACCCTGCCTGCCTTTTAGCACTTGGATGATCCCTGCCAGTCTCACAGAACACCGATCCACTGCTTTGTATTTTGCCTCACTACCTTCACACACACACACACACACACACACACACACACACACGGGCAGAGCCCTCCACAGCATTCTGAGTGGGAAAGAAGTGCAGGCCCCTGGCCGAGCCCCTGTCCCCCCCTGCATGCAGCCAGATGGAGCATATCTCTGTTCTTTTTAATAACTTCAGAATAAAGTCTCGTTTCAGTGCAGTGGGCTGGGTGGTTGAGGAAGGAGTTTGAGAATCTCTCCTGGGTGCCCAGGGATCCACTGAGCCTGCTTTGGCCAGCTCCAAGAGTCCTAGGCCCGCCTGGGCCTCCATGTCCACCTGGGCACTGATCATTGTTGCTGATTGGTTGTAGGTCCCAGTGGCCAGGGGCTGGGCAGTATGACGATCCTCAGAGGGTCAGTGGCACCAAGCTGGTACAGCTCAGCAGGTCATGGCTGTCCACAGGCTCTGGGCTCTCCTGTATCTGCAGAGACACAAGAACCCACTGAGCCCACTGGGTTACTCCAGGGATGGGGTAGCAGAAAGAGCTGGGGCAGGGCAAAGGGGCATCACCACCCCCTATGCAAATGCCAGGCCAGATCCTTGGAGTCTCCTCCATTCAAACTGGAAGCTTCCCTTAAGACTCATTCTGGGCCTTGGGAGAGCCAGGTGTCAGCTGTATCTTAGTGGGAAGATCTGACCTCTCTGGTCCTCCAAGCCTCTCCTTTTGATCCCGAGGAGAAAACTTTTGCCCTATTTCTCAAGGTTGGGACCCCAACGGGGGTATAGAAGACCAGCCTGGGCTCCCCAGCTACAGCTGGCAGGAAACATGGGGAGTCAGGCTCTGGAGGGAACTTACTGCGGGGTGGCTGCTTTTCCCCCACCAAGGCCTCAGTTCCAGCAGCTGGTGCATGAGCTGGACAGAGCGCACAGCAAACACACTCTCCGTCACGCAGAACACGAGGGAGGTGGCCCAGAGGCACAGGCTGGAGCTCTGCAGGACACGGGAGGCAGAGATGACTGCCTGAGGTTGGGGGAGTCGAGGAGCAGCCTCCAACAGCCCTGCCCACTGCTGTTAGGGGTCTGGGTACCACCCATATCAGGCCAAGGCACTTACATAAATGCGTGTGGGGTCAAAGGGACAGTCAGGCGTGAGCACCAGTAGTTCAGCATTCCCAAATGTACAGGCAGCCAGTAATGCCCGGCCTTGGGTGGCAAAGGTCACAGCAATCGAGGCCAAGAGGCCAAGGGCACAGGTCACAGAGAAAAAAGCACAGGCCACACTTGAGCTAAACACTGCCCAGCGCTGGAAGGGCAAAGATCACTGGTCAGTGACATCAGGCGTGGCCCCCAGGGCAACACTGGCTTCCCTGATGGTCAGCTGGGTCCTTAGGGCCACTGCTGCTTCTCCCCACAGCCCCATCCCAGGAAATGCCACATACCAGGGTGTGGCTCGGGAGGTATCGGGACAGCACTGCAGCTGCAATGCCCGTGGTGATGACCTGTGGGAGGACTCAAGTCAGCATGATCCCAGTGCAGGTAGTGGGGGAGGGGAGCAGGTGCAGGTCTGGACCACACCCCTGCCCTGCCCCCAACCCCCATTATCTCCATCTTCACACAGGAATGGCTCCTTCATGCCCCAGCTCTACAGTGATTTTTTTTGGGGGGGATGGGGGAGTCGGTCATGAGGCTTGAACTCTGGGCCTGGGCGCTGTCCCTGAGCTCTTCAGTTCAAGGCGAGTGCTCTGCCACTTGAGCCACAGTGCCACTTCCAGTTTTCGGGTGGTTTATTGGAGATAAGAGTCTCATGGACTTTCCTGCCTGGGCTGGCTTTGAGCTGCGATCTTCAGGTCTCAGCCTCCTGAGTAGCTAGGATTACAGGCGTGAGCCACCAGTGCCTGGCTACAGTGATGGTTTGAAAATCACTCTCTGCCTATAACCTTCTTTGACACCCTATTGACTACAAGGCTGAGTGTCAAAGAGGGACCTGCAGATCTCAGGCCTGCAGATGCATGCCAAGGAAGTGTGTGAAGCCACAGGGTACATGTGATGGGAGAAGACTTGGGGAGAAATGAGGTAACACAACTGGCAAGGGACTAAAATTAAAATTATGATAAAATGAATCAGGACCCTTTATAAAGTAGAATGTAAAAGCCGGAGGACACGACGTGGCTCCACCCCCATCAGCTCAGGTCTGCTCTGTGCCATGGCCCTCCATCACTGCCCTGCATGTGGGCATTGCGAGCAGCTGCTCTAGAAACTGCCTGTCCAGTACCCTCTCGCTGGGAGCTCCCTTCTACTCTTCTGCTGTGGGCCTGCCCTTCTGCAGGCTTCCTACCTACCCCAAAGGCAGTCCCAAATGGTCACTTCCCTGTAACCACTTGGGACCACGGAGCTTGAACAAATGGCTTTACTTTCACTGTACAACCTCTACTCAACTCACTGCCTCAACCTCTCTGGGCTAAGCTCCGCTCGGCAGCTGGAAGTCACCGGAAGGACAATGGTTTCAGGGTCAGACCTGAAATGGATTCAAATCTGGCTTGGCTTTTTTGAATCACGCACTTAGAGTCTTCTGTTCCTCCTTTGTAATACAGAGACCGGGAGCAGTGAGCATTAACTGGGTAAACAAGGGCAAAGGTGAACTGGTCCAGCCCCAGTGCCCATCCCGGTAGCCTTGCTAAACCCTGGGCCCTGCCTTCCTCATGCAGCTGCTGAGAATAGACTCCCAAGGACACAGCACCCAGCAGCAAATGCCCTGTCCACAGAGCCTCTCCTGCTTGCAGGGGCCAGGTTCAGCACGCCTGGAAGCCAGCCGGCTGGCTGAGCTTTCCAGTGCAACCAGGCTTCAAGAAGGAGCCATCCCTCAGCCGGGGAGGCGAAAAGGATAGTGCTGACTCTAAACGCAGATGACTCCCCAATGGTGCAGTGGCCTCTGCTGACAGCCAGGTAAGAGCCACTTCATACATGCAGTTATCAGACAGGGCATCACGTGGCCAACTAGGTATCAAGTAGTTGCTGTAGACCAGGTCTAAAGCTAAAGCTCCCACCAAGTTGTTTTTCTCAGGGTTGGCAGAACACCAGTCCCACCTCCACACACAGCATGGCTAGAGTCTGTACATGGAACGCCATCCCAGCTTCCTTTGCTGCCTGCTAGACCTAGCATGCCACATACCTGGGTTAGTAATTGCAACCCACCTGTGAACTCCTACTCATCCATCAATACCCAACGAGGAAGCCTCCACCTCTGTAAAATGCTGACGTTCCTTCTGTCCCACAGTGCCTTGACTATGTATGGTAATAATCCTCACAGTGGTGCACTCTAATCATGTGTACTGTGCTAAGTAAGCACTTGATGTGGGTGATCTTAGTACTTGCCAAGACCCTCTGAGGCAGACACTCGTACCATTTCATTTTGTAGCTAGGAAACCAAGGCAAAGAGAGTCTGAGTGACTGGTAAATGGTGTTGTGCTTGGTTTCCTGCTTACCCACCCAGACTCTTCTGGAAACCTATTAAAGACCTTCCTCCTTCCTTCCTTCCCTCTCTCCTTCCCTCCCTTTCTCCTCTTCCACCTTCTTTTTTTTTTCTTTCTTCTTTCTCCCTCCCCCAACCCCCGCACCCCATTCAGGTACTGGAGTTGCACTCAGAGTCTCACAATCTTAGCCTTTTCACTCAAGGCTGGTGCTCTATCACTTGAGCTACACCTCCACTTCCAGCTTTTTGCTGGTATTAATTGGAGATAAGAGTCTCACAGATTTTATCTGCCCAGGCTGGCTTCCAACAGAGATCCTCACATCTCAGCCTCCTGAGTAGCTAGGATTGCAGGTATGAGCCACCAGCACTGAACAGCATGAAAGATCTTTCAAACCCTTCCCTCCTGCTAGCTACCCTCCCAGCCCACCCATACCACAATGGCAGAAGTGACAGAGAGGATGTTGACCACGCAGTACTGCAGAGCCACAGCGTCCTGCGGGGCTGTCACGTAGCGCAGCACGGTGCCGTGCAGCACAGCCGCTGTGAGGAAGCTCATGTGGCCCAGGACCACCAGCACCAGGCCTGTCTTCATCAGCATCTTCTGGAAGCCATCCACACTCAGGCCACCTGTTTGGGACAGCAGGTCAGGGCCATGGTGAGGATCGTCCTGAGGCCTTGGAGGGATGACCTTTGAGTTATAAATCTATGGGTGGAGTCTTGGTTTTCTCATCTGTAAAAGGGCTTCACAATTCCTTTTGTGAGAGTTCTTGAAGCTATATGGTTAGGGAAGCACAGTACTGGGGCTTGAACTTGGGTGCCTTTTCACTCAAGGTTGATGTTCTACCACTGAAGCCACAGCTCCACTTCCAGCTTTGGGGTGGCTAATTGGAGATAAAAGGCTCACAGATTTTCCTGCCCAGGCTGGCTTCAAACAGGGACCTCACATCTCAGCCTCCTGAGTAGCAGACATAAGCCACAAGCCAGGCAAGGGGAAGGAATCTTGTTAGTGCTTTAGCTCAGTATTCTCTGGAAGTACTGGGATAAGCAAGGTCTTAGTTCAGGGAGCACTGGGAGGGGTGAAGGCCTGTGGGGGGAGGCTGGGACCAAAGGCAAGTCCTCTCTGAGTGGCTCTGGAGCTTCCCACCCTGTGGTCACATCCCAGTATCTGGACCCTTTCCTTGGGCAGCTCTGGCTCTTCCTAAGTTGTTCTCTGCAATGGCGCCCAGAGCCCCTGGCTCTGCCTTGGCGGTGACACACCCTGCTGACCCTCTGGCCCTGGGGGTCCTCTTTCTCTAGCAGCTCTATAAGACTACAGGAAATGACGTCAGGCCTCAGAACTGTGATTACACCCTTTCTTGTTAGGGCCCCCCCTCCCCATGGGACCTGACTTGGAGTTCCTTCCTAGATCTCCGTCTCCTTATCTCTGGCAAAGGAGATAGATGCTATTTTCTATATGGGAGCTCCACAGCTGAATAAACACAAGAAAAAGCCGGGCAAAGCCATCACCACACTGCCTGTGCTGAACCCTGGGCCAGAGGTAATTCAGGGGGCAGGGAGGCTGGAGTCCATTCAGTATCAGCTTCCTGCAGGCCTGCATCCAGTTCCTATGTTCTCTGGGCCCCAGATTTTTCCCTGAATAAAAGGGCGCAGGCCTGGTTTAGCTGGTTTCTAAGTCCCCCTACAGCCTGCAGGGTGGGGGAGCAGGACTGGGATCAGTAGTAGACTGTAGACGGGCAGGACAGGCACGTGGAACTGGAATAGCTTCCCGAAGATGAGCGTCTGGCCAGACAGGAAGAGGAAGGGCAGCTTTGTGACCCACCTCACCCCATCCACCCACCCACCCTGGGCTCCGGGCTGGGCTCCACACCACCAGCATCCTGGGACCAGGGCCCCGGTAGAACAGGGCAGCGCCAGCCTAGGCTGTTCCGAGAGAGGGGCTGGCGAGCTTTATAAAGAAAGCCTGGCTTTATTTCTAAGCACTGTGGGAGCATTTGGCACGGCGGCTGGCACTAAGCTAAATTCGTGCGCATGGCAGTCCCCATGCTCCACAGAAGGAAACTGAGGCTCAGGAGGTGTCTCCGCTAAGGAGTGGAGACTTTCCAGGGCGGTGGGACGGCCCGACGGCTGCAGCCAGTGCCCAGGCTGGGGAGGGGCGCGCCGGTCCGGTGCCCGCCCCGGTGGACGGGACCCCTGCCCTCCCGGCCTGGGGGGGGCGGAGGAGGGGCGGAGGCGAGTCGCGGCCCTGGACCCGGCCCCTCGGAGCTCCCGGCAGGTGGCGAGGGGGCTGCTCTCTATCCCGCACCTGGAGGCTCTCTGGGCGGTGAACGCGGGGGACAGCGGCCTAGGCACCGCGAGCCGCCCCGAGAAGACCCTCAGCAGCTCCGTCCCGCTGCCGGGGAAACTGAGGCCCGGACGCCGACGTCACCTGCCCCAGGCCACCAAGTGTGCGGTGGGGTTTCTGTCCCGTCCTGCGCCCCGTGCC